TCTACTTTGGCTAGTGGGTCTACCTTTCCATCTGACCTTATAGCAGTCATACTTCTTATTTAAATCTGTTCAAAAACAGATGATTATTGTCAACTTCGTATCAGCAATTATATATATCAGCCACTCTTCATTAATGTAATTAGTAAAAAGCTTAATAGTGGGAGTCTTTACAAAATGTAAAACTTAAAATGGAAAGCTTGACAACTTGTATGCATGATTTTTTTTTTTTCTGATTGTAACATTCTGAATTTGCATTTTGCTGATATTTACTCAGGGCAGCATAAAAGGAGATCTCTGGTTTTAAAGGTAAATACTCCTAGCCAAATCTGCATCTCTACGGAGTAGGTTAGATATGTCATGTGATATTGCTCGTGTCCTTGGATTAAAGAAATTATATAATTACCTCCATTTGAAACTTCTCTGTACCGAACGTCAATTTTACCTTTTACAGTTCAATTTGTGCTTTGTTGGCTGATTTGCGTAGTGTAGCTAATAAAAAGCTAGAAATATAACAGTTCATTTACATGACCAACCAATATTGTACAAATTCTTTTTAGTCTGCAAGCATTCGCCATTTGTAAATCCAAATTCTCTGCAATTCAAGGATTATATTTCACGTACAGTTTTTCAACATATCTGAGAATTTTGCAAATGATTCCAAGACATTTTGGACAACAGAAAGGTGGGGTTCACTGAATACCATACCATTATGAATTTGGCTAAATCTTTGTCAATTTTTATATATTTGTTTAGACCTTTAGATGTTGGTAAGTTACACTGGCAGGGTTTTTTTCCTTACCAGTTGCAATTTTTTTGTTTCACGCTGCACAAATAATGATTAAAAATAAGAGTCAACAAGTCAAACCCTAGAATGTATTATCATTGCAATAACAGCCAAGTAGCAGATCTAAGTGCCTGAAATACTTAAGAAATTTTGACTTCCTTGGTTGCATGGAATAACATGAAATATCTTATTCTGACGTACATACTGTGGTCATAAAATAAATTTCTATAAACAAAAATAAATGTAAGTAGATGTGAATTATCCTTTTTGCTGGTTGCAGATATTTGAAAAGCTAAAGGCTATTTGGATTTTGTTGTAACTGGACCACTTTCCACTGTAGAAAGAACAGGATTTTCCCAGGATTCAAATACAGTATTTTTCATCTTCACTGTGAAGAGCTTCATCTCTTTATAGGAATAAAAGGCCTTTCTGTTCTTTCCCTCTAGCAACCTCTGCCTTTTAGGGAGAAATGGAGTTTCTTCTCCGTTCACCATCACCACCACTTGACAGTACTGCAGTTTCTGTGTCTGATCCAGGTGAACAACTGGGAAAAGGGCTGAGAAGAAAGAAAGGAGGAGTGCACACACACTCTCACACTTTTTCACAAAAGAAGACAGGAAACTTGGTGACCATAAAAGCAACTTAAACATTTCTCAGGTAGAAATGGGGACATTTTCTAGTCTAGCTATGTGATCAGGATGGAATGTGAAAGCTTACATCTAAATGTCTTAGGCAGCTTTGCAGTTACATGCCAAGTGGATACACTCTGTGCATTCAAATATACAATTTAGCCTGAACATACAGTCTGCAGTATCCTTTACAGTCCATTTATGTGACTTTGTAACACTGCAGGAATTTCACTAAACTGTCTCAGCAAGTCTGGACACAGTGTCTTCAAATTTTTTTTGCCATATGTTCAAGTAACATTCCTTAGGTGCATTCGTCAAGCTTTTCTGGACAGCTTTTAATGGGTTTGAATTTTGAAATTGAAGACTTGAGGATCTAGGGTGTAGAAACTGTGCAATTGAAGGGCTGGTAAAGAGAGAGAGCCCCACAGCATGAGGTCACTCTGGGCAAAATCTAGTCCATCTAGTTGTGATTTATTGGCAGTTGAAAACTGTTTAATGGCATATATGAAATCAAGGGTGAATGTCCACACTGCCAGTATCATCAATATGGTACCTTTTTATTGTCACATGTTAAAATATATGGATAAGAAAACCTGAAAGGAATCAGAAATTGAAGAGATTCATATAAATAAGTGTTCCTTCGCCTTTAACAAATTCTTCCATATTAATCATTAAATAGATCCCACATGTCATTTACTCTATGAATTTCAGTCTCTGTGATTATGTACCTGACATCCTTTGTAAGTATTGTATAGGCTGTGTTTTGCTTATGTTTAAATATATCTGTCAACACTAACTTTTCAGAAAGTTTTAAGAAACATACGCACTGTTTCAAAACTATGCGAATATATATTCCATTTATCCTTTAAAAAAACATTTGGCTAATGAATTTACTTCAAGCAGTGATATACTTATGTGCATGCAATTTGTGTTTTTTCTTTAAATTACTTTCATTTTGTAAAGTAATAAATAAAATAAATGGAAAGCCTTTGTAGGCTACTGTTTTTATGATGTCCTAACCTCGAGTGAAAAGAAAGCTGGGCCAACTAGTTGTTCTTGCTTTTATTAAAGTTCCTGTTGGCAGCGCATTGATGGGACGTATTAATCTTAGTATTAATACAGAGGAAAAGGGGCTTAGAAGCCTAGCATGAATAAATCATTCTAGACTCCATTTGGATCTGTTGGCACCTTCCCTCTTTCATTGTTGCTGGATAAAAAGGCTTCTCTAAGTATTAAAGGGCTGGATAACACAATTGACCAATTGCACAATTACCCACAATAATTTGTGGGTGTTCTGATGGGATAGGAAGCAATGGGGTAGGCTGGTTTGAGCACCTGTAGTTGTTCAGAAAATTAACATCCTCATGAATATGCATGGAAAACCTGTGAGTTGGTGCTAATTTAAAGAAAGGGACTCGTTTGCTTCTATCCCCCAGAGTTCTGTGCAGTCTTTGTCACTGAGATCAGCGAGTAGTGTTGCCACTCTAATTCTGAGGGGTTTTTTTGATGCTATGGAGCTTCAAAGAAGAGTGGTTGAAAAGCTTCCTCTTTGTGCTGTAAAAGGTCTATCTCCACTTACCTCATTAAAATCTTTGGAGGCTTGAGGATGAGCCATGTTTTTTTTTTTCAACTGAAAAGGATTGAAAGTAGGTTTTTCTATTTATTTTTCCCTTGATGATTATCTCTGAATATGCTGTGAAATATAATCATCATGCTCCAAGAGCAACTACTTGTTTCAGTTCCTTCATGTGTTTTGCTCCTTTCTGGGAAGTCCATTCGTGCCTGGAACATGCCGGTCTGTGTACGGGTGTCTAGACAGACCCTCAAAAAATTGCTATGTGTTCAAGGTCCTCCTCCATGACACACTCTTATCTGCCTCAGGAATAATTATCGGCAACCAGCCTCCCTGGCCCCTTCTTGATTCAATTCACACCGAGTTCTGTGCATGTTGAAGGTAGGATGCAGCCAAAACACGGCTGTGTGCAAGTATGGGATGGAGGTTACAGTGGGGGTGGAGGTGAAGGAGCGGAGGAAAGACAAAGAGTGAGCAGTGCCATGCATTGCTGTGGAGCTGGGGCAATTACAGCCCTTTCACCACCCACCTCCTGCACCTGATGATTCCATGACTGATATGATTTCTTCTCACTGACTCAGACTGGGCCTGCCTGTACGCTGGAGTACTTCATACACTTAAAAATAGATGGGACAGGTTTACTCTCTGGGTGGGTTTTCCTGAATCCCACAGCTTTGATTGCTGTTACATGACAAAGTGGCTGCTGACATCAGAGGAAAATTGTCGTACGGTAGTAGCTAAGCATTCTCAATGGCGGTCAGCAAGCAATTATATGCTACAATTTACACCATCTTCTACAGTCTGTTCTCTGACTGAAGAAGCACCTATTTTTAGCTAGGCAATAATCAAGTGCTTAAAATAGGCATAGAAAATAAGATTTGGAGAATAATGTATGCAACCATTTAATAAGCATTTCACTCCCTCATGAGAGGCACTGAAATGTAGAATTTCTAGCTATATCACCATATTTTTAACTGACAAAATTGCTGTTGAGACAGCTATATTTCCTCAAAGCATTTTATTCATAAAATAATCTAGTTTTATAAACATAGAGATCATCTTTAATGTAACGGATGTAATGTGAAACAATTATTTTGGGTAACTTTTATTTAGATGGCACAAATCAAAGTTAACAGAATACCGAAATAGAAGGAAGATGAAAAACAAAGTGAAATGTCTCTGTACGTTTTATTTTCAATGAAATAAGAGAATATCACTTTACTGCTTCTACTATAAGTGGGATCATTTGAAAGCTATCAACCTGTACGTGTGCTGCAATAGATAGAAACACACTTTTTAAAGTCAGCCAGTCGTGTGTGGACTGGGGAGGGAAACAGTGTTTTTCTGTACATATATTTCTTGTAGAGCTGTTGGTCAGCAACAGTTTGCAATCTGAAAACTCAGGTAGTGAGCAATATGTGATAATGCAACGCCAACAACAGAAAGGAGGGGGTAAAAGTCACTGGGCTGTATTTGTTCAATTCAAAACATTAATCTCCCGAGAAATCACTAATAACTTGGTTCATTTTTTAAGCCAGCGAACAAATCCCTCTACTAGTACCTTGACATAGGATCTTTTTTCTCTTCCACCTCCTTTTTGTGTGTCCTATTTCTGGCCCAGAGTTGTGCTTGTGTACAGTGGTTTGTGCAATGACCTAATGATAGGTTCAATTTGTTCAGGACAGATTATGAACAGTATAGTGTATCCAGTTCCATTCAAATGCCTCCAAATTGAGTAGTCTAGAATAAAATTTTTAAAGCAACAGTTAAAAAAAAAATCCACTCTTGTTAGTTTGCACCTTTAGAGCCTATCTTTAACAGATGTTGAATTTAAACTTTGCTTTATATAGTCCTCTTATATTTTTGAGCTTCTTATTTAAGTTTTACAATAAATAAATTAGAAAAATACATAATATAATGATTCATAAAAAAGCAAAGTTTCTATCAGGTAGGGTACCTGACTAGTGCTCGTTATATATTTACTACTTCGTTTTGGAGAATGTAAAAGTTGTAGGGAGGAGGTAATGTCTCTTAAACTGCCAATTTTGTACTATGGAATATACTGATCACCTGTCTGTTCTTCCTTGAGGTATAAGCTGTGATTCTGCACTTCTGAAAAAATGCCAAGGCTATTCAACTGCAAAGTAGTAAAGACTGCCGGCTAGGACATCCACTTAGAAAGTACCCCAGAAGTAGACCCACTTCATGAAGCAGTCTGCACTGCTGCTACCAAGAAGGTCTGGGGCTTTTGGATTTGAAAAAAGTTTAAAAAAAAAAAAAAGGATGCAAACTAAGACCAAAGCTTCATTTTGTGCAGCCTGCTGACCCTGTCAGAAAACAGAAGGCAAAGTCCTGCCTGGCCTGAAGCTATAACAAGCCTCAAACTCACAAGAAAAGGTAAGCTCAAACCATAGAAGAGAAAATGGCTTATGACTTCTGATGTTAACAAAAAATGTATAATTCTTAAGTGATCTGCAAGTAAATGTTATTAGAATAATTTTTTTTTGCTGAATTTCTCACTTTCTTTCTGCATTTTCATGATGTGCTCCCTCCCATACTGCCAAGGAACTTACCTGGGGGCAGTGATCATAGCAATGGTCTTAGTGCTTTATGTAGGATGATAGACAAAGGGTATGAGCCTGGGACCCTGTGGAAGGGCCCAGGCTTAATGCAATCACCTTTTAGCTTAGAAGTATGTTATATATGGTACTTAGTTCGACTTGCTGTCAATTTGTAAAGCAAAAGACTGGCCCAGCTTGTAACATCAATTATTATTAAATTTTGTGGTGGGCTGAGTCTAATTTTATCCTGGTTTTATAGAGCCATTGACTTTAAAGGACTTGTTCCAAATTTTCACTGGCATAACTGCAAGTAGAAATAGGCCCAATAACTGTCATGTGAAACAAAATCATTCCATCTTGTAAATCAGAATGCAGGTTACATGGCAATTAATTTTAGGCCCACTAAATTCATCTTTCAGATGATGTGTTACCTGGCAACCTTGGATACCTACAGTCAATTAAAATTTCCTGGCACTTCCTTGAATAGGGATGTTTGTTACTAATAGTGTCCAAAAGAAATTCTAGCTAGTATGATTGTATTTGACTTAGCTAAAGTTGCCTACATGCACATAGTTAGGTAGTTATTCTTCCTTCTACCTTCTAAAAAACCTAACCATTTGTGTTGTGATTTTGGTGCAGGTGGCAGCTGTGTTCTCTCCAGAAGCAGCACGAAGTAGAGTTTCTCTTACCCTGTACCATTTAACAGCAAAGCATTTTTGAAGTCTAGAAACAAAAAGCGTCAGAACTGTTTTCTAATATTCAAGGACAAATACTCAGCTAATGTAACTTGCTGTATATTGACTGAAATATTATCTAAATTTATTTGCCTTTTATTTCTTAAAATAATGTACTATTTTAATTGGTCATGCCCCTTAGGTTTTATTGCTCCTATCTATTTATATAAAATATTCTGTGACACTTTGGCCTTAAATAAGAAAGCAATGTACAGGCTATTATGTTTCCTTTGTGTCTTTCTCCTTTCATGAGTCCTAAACTTATTATGAAACTATTCTAAGCAGCTCTGAAACATTTGCAGAATAGTTACTGTAACAATGAATATTGTTTGGAAATACCTGCCTTTCTGCCTGTCTGTCTCTTTGAGCAAACAAAGCTTGCAACTAGGACCACATCAGCTAACACTCAGCTGTTGCCACATCCAGGAAGAAGTTGTGAATTTTGCAAGCTTGTGGGAAGGAAGAACAGTGCAACCACAGTGGAGGAATTCCTATTCCTGCAGGATTAAAAATATCGATACGGATCCTCCAAAGAAGATACTGCATATAGGCCTCTAGCCTATATGTGGAGAACAATGTGTTCCTTGCATTCCCTATGGGAAAACCTACCAGAACTATGGGCACATGACAGATTTACCGAGGAGCAAGTTTGAGGGTAACGAGGACAGTCAACCCGAACAGCTGCAGAAGGCTCAAGTAAGTGTGATTGTCCCGTTAATAGGTTGCCTGTTGTTTACAGTATCCATAGCGTGTAAAACTTCATAATTTCTCTCTTTCAAAATAGTGACTGAGTGTATGCAAGCACAGAGCAGTGAAATTTTTTCTTACAGTAGCTGATTTGTTTTATGAGAATGTATTGGCAATACTAGCCAAAATGTGTCAGCAAACTCCCTCTGTAATCAAAAGCATTCTAAGTGCATCCACAGGCAGAAAAGCATTCACTGCACTCTGATAAACAAAATCTGGTGGTAGTTCTGAAAAGCTGTGAACAGGTTTGTAGTGGAGTGAAAAAGAGCCAAAGAAGTAAACGTGAAACAATACCTGAGCATTTAAATTAAATATATCAGGATACAAAAAAGTGCTATGATCAATCTAGAAAAAGGAATGAAAACAGGAATAATGGTGTCAGCTTACCAGCTACAGGTCTCCTAATCTAGAATATAATATTTTTTGGATTTCAATTCCTTAATACTATATTTGGCCTTTCCAGTCCAAGGACATAACAAATTACTTGCATGCTGTGCTGAGATTCAAAAAAAAAAAAAAAAGGTAGAAACAGCTGCTGTCGGCTTTTTAGTTTGTCTTTGACTGATTCCCAAACTCAGCCAACCAACACAGTCCTCCTCCACTTGTAGAGCTTTTGGTTTATCTTGGCCTATACAGCCCTTTGTCCTCAGGCAAAATTTCACTGGAAACCTCAAATAAATACTGTTTGATCTTTACCAACACATCTCAAGGAAGAGTACCTTTGGTTCAGCTTCCCTTCCTTCCTTGCAGTGAGGAAGGGAGGGAGGTGGAAATTTTATGTGAGGAATCAACTGTATACAGGTCTAGTCTCAAGAGCTGCAAGATGTCTTGAGCAGCTGTGACCCCCAGGCTTTTCATACTCTCTTCAGTGATGTATTAGCCAGGATAACCAGTGACTTTAATAAGCATAATGGGGTCTTACTGTATTTTCCATCTATATTTTCCATGCAGTTTACCCAGCTCTCTTACCCCCTCCAGAGCTATAGGACTGTGAAGGCCTCCTCTCTATTAAAGTTTAATATTCCATCTTACAGGAGTAGGAGCCAGTCTAGGTTTACATGGGGAAAATAATAGGGGACTATGGCACTTACCTTTTGATGACTGCCACCCTTGCAGATGGCAGTTTTTCTGTGATCAAATACTCTCTAACCCCTTTGGAAATTCTAATCAAATTATTTAATTTCTGAGCCCAAAGCCCTGAGACTGAAGAATGGAGTAAATGAACGCCAGAGAAAACAGAGAAAGACCAAAAGGCCAAAACGACAGGAAAGATTAATGCAGAAGATTTGTAGGAGGAATGTAAAAGAATGCAGTGGCCTTGCATGTTTAGCTGATGGTTCTCCTCTCTGCCTTCCTCCTTTTCCTACTGCACTCTCCTCCAACAGATTTAAATTGGCTACTTGGTTTTGGGTTGCAGTCTGCTCCCTCTGTTCAGCTGGTCAGTGAATACCTGCTCTGATTGGCTCTCCACAGCATCCTCCCTTTCTCATTATTTTCACTTTTGCTGCTTGCACATGCTGAGGTTCTGAAAATACTAAATTAATCACCCTGTCTCTAAACAAGAGAAATCTGCAGATCTAGTCAGCCTGACAGCAGAGCCATCAAAAATCAACACCAAGAAGAGTAGAGGGGTAGATTACAGGAGCAGTGGGCATTTTTGATAGGAGCATGAGAAGGAGAAGAGTGATGAAATGAAAGGGATTGTGGTAACTTAAACCCTTGACTTCTGGGAGGAGTGCTGCATCCCCAACAGCGTGACAGGGCAGGTGACACAAAAGTACCTGTCCATAGTACCATACCTCACTTCTTGAGATATGTTGGCACCAGAAGGATGGTGGCAACCAAAGGAGTATCTGGAGCCAGCCAATCAGAAGTACTCTCTTATTTCAGAATCAGAGGTTAAAGTGAAAAATTGTCATGGCTAGGTTGAAAAAAAGTCACCTGCTTCTTGTTTACTGTGAAAAATGGCTAAATAAAAAATGTTTTTCAGTATTCATTTTCAGATAAAATTGTTTTTTGTTCAGATAACTTGGGAAAAGTTGAAACAGTCCTATAAAAATATTATTTTGGTCACCAAAGCTGTTTTTCGTTAAAATGTTTTTACAGCCAAACTAATTCAGCAGCTCTGGTACAATCACACTGGTGGCATTTTTATTCATTTTCCAGGTTGGAGCAGCAATCAGATACTTACTCCTGTGAAAATACTCCTACCGTAAATGTGTGGGATGGGACCTTATTGTGGGGCAAATGGCAGGGTAGGCTCAGGCGATCAAGTGAAAACCTTGTGAACCATCTGAACTCTCCTTAAACAGCCTGATTAAGTGCCACTCTTTTTTCTGGTTTAAGTAGGTATAATGTCAGCAATAGTGGGACAGAAAAGAAATGCAGGAAATGCACGTGATTTTGGGCTAGGGTAATCCAATTAGTGGAGAGAAAGACGAGTATCAATGGTTTGTTCCTGTCATAAACAAGTTATTTGTTCATTCCATATCATTGCTTATTCATATGGAATATTAGCAGGCTTTTTTAAACCATTAAAGCCTCGCCACTCACCTTCAAAACTGCCTCTAGGCATCTTTGATTTGTATGGCCAGTTTACTCCCTAAAGGTCTTATCGACCTTGGCAGTGTTACAAATCATATTTTCACATGCATGAATTGCCCTTGACTAATTTCTCCAGTACAGTTTGAACATAAATAACCTTTCCTTTGGCAGTTGCATTTTTTACTTTTCACCCATTTATTTTTAATAAATACGGTGCTGAATGTGGTGTAGTTATATGGAGTACTGCAAAGTAAATCCATTTAAAAACTTAATTAAGAATGTGTCTTCTTGTTTTCCTGGAATATATTAACACTAGATGAGAGAATTTTTCTCTTCCTTTTTTCTTCTTTCTGTGACTCTCTCCTCTAGTCTCTTGTTCAGGATCATACACTTCAGAGTGGCTTTTGATATTGTTCTCCCCCACAGTAGTTATGAATTTCCAAGAACAAAGTGAAATTAACTTTCTCATTGTGACATCTGACATGTAGTCCATTCTGGCCCTCCCTGCTTATTTTTATGTAAGTGTCAGAAAAGATACAGGTTCAGAAAGTCTTGGGGTCTGCAAAAGTTGACTTCCAATAAAAAAGCAAGCCAGAGCCACTGAAAATAAAGCCAAACACATTGTGAGCAGCACTTGGTCAAGGTAAACCCTACGTAGCTGTAAATAAACAGATGACAGTAGGATGAATTGAAGAGTAAATAATTATTATGCAGCAGTTCAGCTTTCTGATGAAAGTACAAATCTGTAGCTATTCACAACCTGTTAAGAATACACTGAACGCTTTGCCTGGAGTCTCAGATGCAACGTATGCAATCATCTGTTTGCAGATACAGTGATGCAACTAGAAATAACATGCATGAACGTGCTACAGGATAGTCCATCACATTGGATCTAGCGTTAGTTGCCAGACAACTCTGCGACGTGTTTTCTACACATCAACCTTGGCTAGGAATAGGAATTTTCCTTCTCACCTGGAACTGTATTTTCAGTTCCTTTACAATGTCCTCGTCAGACATTTTCCTATCCTTTCACCAAAACTTTCTTGACAGCAGTATAATTTTCGTTGTCTGATTTTTAAATTGTTGTCTTTGAAATGGAAACAATACCTTAATAACTTTCTCATTATGACATCTGACATGTAGTCCATTCTGGTCCTCCCTGCTTATTTTTATGTAAGTGTCAGAAAACATACAAGTTACTGTTTTCAGAAAACCTGACAGCGGTCGCTGCTTTACCTCACCAGCTATGACAGGACTATGGCGCGAAAGGGGAAAAGGCACCCATCCTATCTCCAGTGGGTATCAATGAGCTCCACTCCACCCTTAGGACCAGAACTCGGGAGCACATGGACCTCCATGACTTAGTTATCTGAAGAACAAAGATATCTTTGTGACTTTCTCATAGTGTGTTGAATTAGCACCTATGTAACACTGAAATTCCTCAGGGAGGTGCAGAAGCAATACTTAATATTATTGATGCAAATGAAGCAGAAAGAGACCCTTTTAACTGGGAGCCCCTAAATACCTGTTCGGTTTTCACGAGGAGAATCTTCTTTTCCCTCTTTATGCATTGAAGAGTTTTGTTACAGAATATTACTATGTTTTTTCTTAAATTGTATCCTGTGGACCTTCTCCCGAATTCCCATCAGTTCACTATACATCATTTCTGCTAATATTATCTTTCAGATCCTTTACTTTGTTAAATGTCTTTTCTGTGACAATCTAATATGCAGAGTGAGAACCTAGAGGGAAAGATCTCCTCTTCTTAATATGCTTGTTACAGAAATATGACTTTCTATGAAGACTGAAGCCCTAGTCTATGGTATTGGAATCTGGCTGGCCTTCAGCACAGAGAGAAGAGGTTTCAGCCTAAGAAACAGCTGTACCACTATGGTTTTCACTGTTAGTACTGCATAGCAAGTAAGTATTCAAAGGTTAACTGTTCCTTAAAAGGCTTAGCTTTAGCTACCATATTAGAAACTATCTAGTATTTGTAATTTATTTTGAAGATGAGGTTAAACTCTTGAGGGCATCGTGTATTAGCTGTCTAAAGTACTGTCAGTATGGTGTATGTATTGTTCCTGTTAGAAAAGGCAAATAGTAATAGAAAGTTTGCACAGGATAATGTTTAATTATGTATGTGGCACACTTTCCATTTCATAGGCTCATTGACAGTTTCAGAGAAACAAGAGGACAAACATAAAACTGATCTTCCATTCATACAGTGACACCTTGGAAACTGAAAGATCTAGTCAAATCCATATGCATTCAGGTAAGGATTTTATGTGACTTTCTATTATGAAACACTGATAGAAGAAATGTTTTAGATAGACCGATGCTTTGATCACTGTTCTTTATTGAGTGAAGTATTTTTAAAACTGCAAGTTTTAAGTAAGCATCAGGTAGTGAGGGAGAGTGGAATTGACTACCTCTCCACCTAAAAACAATTGCAATAATTGCAGGGAAACGAAGCCTGAGGGAGGAGGAACACTAGATATTTTCAAAGACATAAAGAATTAGATGACTTTCTTTTATAAATATGTTGCCTCATCAGTATTTTGATTCAAGCTGCTGTTCTACACTCTTTTCTTCTTTTCTTTCCTTCTGTTGTTATGTCATAACAATAATTTACTACATTATTGTCAAGGAATACAGGGTGACTTCTTGTTTTTGTATCGTTTGAATTCACAGGATAAGATTATTACATAAGCTTCCTTATATGCTCAGTCTTAGTGCTAATCTCATATTTTGAAGTTATCATTGTCCATGTCTATTACAAAGAATTCCAGCAAAAATGACTCGATATAGTTCAACTACTACGTATATTAGTCTCTAAAAATTTATGTTTCATCACCTTAAGTATCCCCTCACTTAAGAAAAGGTAAAAACCAGAAAATTTCTACTAAATGAAGCATATAAAATCTTCATCATGCTCTCTTACTTCCATGTTATAACACTGATCTCTTGCCCTTTGTCTGCTTTGTATCACTTAGCATGTTTGTCCCAAAGGAGAGCCAGCCTAGACCCACGTTTGGACAGAATGCAGTAAGTGGAGACTACTCCTAATTGCAGTATTACCTTAGGATAAATAGTTAAAATTATGACGTTTATTTAAAATATTTCCTTATGTGACAATCCAGACCCTGCTAGAGAGTTGCAAATACATGCTATAGTTACATACTGCTCAACTGTGAATCTCTGTGGGCTCATTAAGGAGTCTTACTCGCTGGAGTGATACCTTAATTACTAAGTTGTTTGGAATTAGAGGCGTATCCAGAAATTGCATAGTGCCAAACATAAATTGGAATCCATATTTAGAAGAAAACAAACTGTCATTACTTAAGGAATACAGTTTCATCAAATTCATTTTGTTAGTCTGATTTCTCCACCTTGGAATGCTGGGATGAATTTAGATGCCAGCTTTTGAGAAGTGACTTGGAAAACTGGGTAAGTATGCAAAAAGAGTAATTTATGCTTAATGATCCTGACTTTGCTATAGTTAACATAGAAAAAGAGCAAAAAAGGGAGTTAGGAAAGCAGTTCAGACCAAAGGCCTGACCTAGATGCTCTGAAACAGTGTGTGGAGGCGCTCCTAATTTCACAAGGTTAAACTTAACGCGTCTTTCATTTTAAAAGTTACTGCAGAAATTCAGATCCTCTCAAATGGAACCAACACTGACAATGCTTACAACAGTAATGACAATAATTATTCACCAAAATTATACTTACAATACTGACAACAATTAGACTTAGAATTACTGACGATACTGACAACACTTTGCAGAACCGAGTACAAACTTTCTTGAGGTGGACTTCCTCAGATAAGGCGCCTATGAGAATTTGGTTCAGGCTCTTGATTGACTAGAAATATTAGTTTCTGCCTAGTAAGAGCAAGGAAGCACATGCGGGATTTTTGCAAACATACATATTTGTGATAGTGGGAGACAGAGGTCAATGTAAATGCCACTTTTGATTATATGAAAAACTCATGGCCTTCGAGAGTTTTGCAGTTGTACACTTAACGCTATAATATTACTCATCTCTATGCTACCCATCTGAGGGTTCCTTGTGTATTTGTCCTCCTTGTACACCTAGCACAGGAAGAGTTGTTAAACTATTTTACAGACGGGAAATGAAGTCATTTTTCCAGAATCATACAGGAAGTCATAAGATTCAAGAGGTTTCTTATCTCCTGTTCCATGCTCTAAAACACAAGACCATTTTTCCTCCCTAATTTTGTGTAGTTATCTGGAGTGAGCCAGAAAAACAACGTACTTGGTTCCTCAATGAAGTAGATTTCATAGATATACAATAATGGGCACATCAACAATCTTTCTAGAGCTACACCTAATTACTCAGGCTCTTGAATATGCATTGCAGAAGTTTCCCTTCCATCTGAATTCATCAGTCTCACTGCTCAGCTTTAATTACTTTACTTTTTCCTCTTTGATTAATTTGTATTGTTGTAGCATTGATGTACTCAGTGACTTTCTACTTAAAATAATTGAATATTGTAACCTTAAAATTCTTTGCATGTGCTGTCTGTAAATTTACACCTAACAAACCTTGAATATAGTATTTCCAAGCCACCTGAAAAAAAGCAGCTCATACATGCCTGTTCAAATACAGTCCTACATGGTGTTTATTGTTGTAAACTAATTTTTTTTTTCTATTGGTCTACATGTTCTGAGCAGGATGCACAAGTGCATAAGGCAGGAGAGCCTGGGGCTGTATTTGATCACAAACTCCACACAACCTGACGAGGTCAATGAATTTTTCCAGACAATTCAGATAATTCTCTCTCTGCAGACAAAATCCCTGGTTCTCTCCTCAGTGTTTACCCAAGTAAGCTCCACAAAGTGTTTCAGAAGTCCCCTTTTATTTATTTTTTTTCAAAGTTGTACCCACCTCATTCTAGTAAGAGGTAAAAGTATATTGATACTAATTCAGGGCTAGTTTACGCTTCTACAGATCTACCCCAACATGTCAGATCAGCATCCTCACTATCACTGTATCTCATGTTAAAGCAAAGTAAGGGGTCAGCAGAGGATTCACTTTCCAGAACTGTGTGGACTGTCCAGGGGATCACATGTCATCTCTCCTGGATATAACTCCATGCAAAGCATGGGAGTGCAGAATATGCAGAAGGATGGTTGCCAGTGCTTTCTGTAAAGAATCACATCAACAGTTTTTCCAATTGATGGAGACAACATGCCATAATTAAAACAAGCACTGTGGCTCTGCACTGTTGGAATGGATTTCACTTCTTAAATCCTATCTTCTGGAAGTTCACCATCACAGTTCTTGATTAATCCACCTTTATGCTGCTGAAACGTAGTTTGAATTTAGAACCTTCTAATATTACACTTTTCTGTATTGCAGTGCTTCAGTACTATTTTTTTGAAGTACATAAATCTAGCCAGAATTTTTGTTGGGGGACTTGGCATTCTGGTACGGAACTATTAAATGTAATGAGGTTTGAAGCACAGTTTGGAAGGCACACATATTTGCAGGCCTGATTTGTACAGTGCATCAATTATTTGTGCCTCCACAGTGACACAGGATTATGTGTAGAGGTTTTGTAGGCATGGGGCTAAATTATACTATATTTCCCGTTCTCACTGAAATAGTAATTTTTTAGTTCTGACATTTAGGTTGCAAAGTTTGTGAGCCGGAGCACAAGTAAAGCTTTGTTGTGACAGTACTGGATTTATTTAGCAACATCACAACACATCTGAAAAACCAGAAATAGTTCAACATAAGACTTTGTTTGCTGGTAGTGAAGAAATCTGCTTAATCTTAGAGTCACTGGCTGTATGGCTCATATGACAGAAAGGGAAGTTGTTAAATTCTTTATAGTTTCCAAGAAAACTGAAAGTGGCTTGCCAGAGGCTATCAGAAAAACAGGCTAAACTGCTGCTATTCTCTCTTTCGGTAGAATTATTTCATGTAGAAAATTATAGCAGTTACATAGGGTATAGTAAAGATCAGTGTAAGTACTTATTGCATAAAAATATTTTTATTCTGTGCTCTTATATACAGTTAGAAAAAAGCATATTTGGGGATTAGTAGTCACTCATTGAGTAGGTCCATATACTAAAATACAGTGATGCATTTAATGGAAGATGCCAACAATCCTATAATGCAAAAAGGTAAATAACACAATGACTGTTGAGATGTTTATAAAGAAAGGACAGGGCAAAGTTCACACTACTCACTCTAATACTGTCATTTTGTGTCTCTGGAAGGCTTTAATTTGCAATCATAGTGTTCTTTGAATGGGATGAGAAGTCACTATGATGCACATCTTACATCTTCTTTTAATATGTTTGGTGTTTGTACTAATCAAGGTGGGGGAAAAAGCAACAAAGAAACCTGTAGACCTTGTATCAGTAGTACTTAGTTTTACATCCCGTTTTACAGCATAAACAAAGCAAACCAACCCATAATAAAAATAAAAGAAACAAAAAAGAAAGTAAGCAGACCTAGAGAAATTGAATGATTGAAGCATTAAGTCTGGTGCAAATAAGAATTCTGCTGGATGTATAGGGGGGTCTTGGACACAGTCCTTCCCCAAGCTAGTACTAGTCTATTATGTATACTCCCTGAAAGTACACAATATCCCTAACAGAGACATAAGTTTTGGAAAGCTGGATAACAGTGACACTGTTGACCACTATTAAGCATTACAAATAATACTTAATAAAATCAGTAATCTTTCTTCATTTTTATTGCCCTTTGTAGTCAAATTCTTCCCTTGAAGATCGTTTGAAAATGAAAAAAATGGTGCGTTCTATTCTCTTGAGTCACTTGGCTGCATTGAAATTTGACAAAAGCAAACAAATGATACAAAAAGAATACATTTGCATCAGAGTCAAAAAACTGTGACAGGGATTTCACTGCATGCCATACAAAACCTAAAATAGGCTGCCACATTTCAACTCAACAATTAGAGCATATCCAGTTCAGTGAGTCTTAAGGTATACAAGATATAATTTAGACATTTCATCGACACTCCCTGGAAGGAGTTACTATTTGCGATACCAATGCAGATATGAATAGCAGCATGCTGGCAAAAGTGTGCTTGGAAAACCACCACTGAACTGTTGAAAATTTTGAAGGATTGACAAAGAAGTTTCACACATTGGAACTGGATAATGAAAGATCTCAAGGTGCAAAAGCTAAGAGGGCCATTTTAACAGTCACGCATAATAATAAAAACATCTCACTTAACTGCCAGCGTTTGAGAAATATGGGTCAAATGTGTTTGTCAAATACAGTTGGGGTAGATCAGAAGTTTTGCAGTCAAGTGATTTTCTGTTCATTTCATGAGTGGTAATGAACTTGTTTCCACAATGTTAGATGCAGGGGTGTTTCAGGCACAGAACTGCAAGGGAAAATTAATAATCATCTTTAATTTGAAATGAGTGTCAGTCAAAAATGTAATATCTATTTCACAGGAAATGCCCAGTTGTGAAAAGAATGATGCACTAAAGTTCCTATTTTGCAGATGATTTAGCATTCTCTCTCTATTTAAATCACTTATCATTTCATTTTGAGCCATAAAGGCTCAGCACTTCTCAATAGCAGACCCTGCAGTCTATAGCCAGAGACCCAGAAAATAAGAGGACACAATCAGTGAGTGACTTCTTGTGAAGGTTGTGTTTGGTAGGATTCTGCCTGTCCCTTGGTGGTAAGGGAAGAAAAAAGGAACAAAGGTCTTACAGGATTGTAAAAAGGCTGTTGCCAAAGAGGGAGGAAAATGAACTACAATGGTTGAACAACCATGATGAAAATCATGAGTTTTTTTCCAGCATCATTCACTGCAGATTTTCTAACTTCCGCATCAAAGAAGGCAAAGGTCCTAGTGGCACCCTTCTTCTCACTGTGTCATTGAAATACATCCCCAGGCAGGTTAACCATGTTTAGGGAACAGGGAGGATACTGTGGGGAGAGAATATGTGAGTTTAAATTTCATTATGCATTTACACAAAGCTGTCACAGAAAATTTTCATGTAGTAGAATATTTTACATTTCTTGATGCCCCTCTGACTGCTGCATTTTCAGTTTATTGGATTTTGGTTTTATCTCTGGCAGGTTTACCGTATGCTACCATGACTTTCAGTGGCATTCATTTCTGTAAAAGTGTCATGGTAAGTTATGCCAAAATAAATACTAGTAGAACTGTGTCCATGCTAGGAAATTGCACCAGTGTAACTATAAACTGAGATAGTTAAATCAGCACTGTGAGTAGACCTAAGTGCTTTGCTGGATTTTGGTCAAAACACTTTTAAAGTAATGTTTAATTTTGTTTTTGTGCCAGCTGTGGACCAAACTTAGCCACCTGTATTCATAGTGTGCATGTAGCCATGAGTATGCCACAAGTATATTCTAAACTTTAGACAAGAGATAGTCCCACTGTAGTCATTTAGGAGTTAAGGATATGCTTAAAGCGAGGCATCTGCTTAGCCTCTTTCCTGACTCAGGAGGGACTTAAGCATATGCTTAGAAATAATTATATGCTAAAGCTTTATGCTGAATAAGTACCTTTATTTCTTAAAAATGCAATGAAAAAAATCTTATTTTGAGTGTAATAGGAAAATTCCTAGAATCAGTCAGCCAAAGATAATTGCTGTTTGGAGAGCTTTGAGTGCACACAGTAAGAAAAGTACATTTTATCCAAGGAAAAACACACCACTTCAAACCAATACAACCTACGGGGCAATATTATTTTTATTAACACATATGCTGTAATGCTGAAAGTTGTTTTACATTTGAAGCTACGTACTTGGCAAAGTAACTCAATTCAATAACCACAACATACAAATGATATTCACACAGGAGTGTATTACACTGCAAATATTAATTAACCTGAAGGCTGTTTTACACCATTCTTTGGGGCAAAAAGTATCATTCACTAAGGCTAAGGCCCCTTTACTGTGTTAGAGTGCTTCAAAATAGTTCCTAAAATTCTTTTGTTGCAGGCCAAGGCAATAAATTATTCTACAGGACACATTAGGTAGTGCAAAATTCAGCCGGTAGACTGACTTCAAAAGTTACAAAATGCACAATAGACTCTTTCTGGGCCGCAAACCCTCAAGTGATTATCCATTTCAGGTCAATTACGCTAGAGAAGAATTTCACACACGTACTGGTCAGGTGAGCTTCATGGGGCCAAAATGATTACTTGACCTCTTCTGAGGCTGAGGTAGTTCCATCTAGTGCCATGCTGCCAGGAATATCCTTTCTCTATCTATTTTTTTTTTTTTTGTGTTTGAGTCCCTTGAGGTGTTAATTAAGCCTATAGAATCTGATCCATTGCATGATATTAAATAATTTCTGTTGTTCACCATATAATACATTTATAGCTTTTCTGCGCAAAAAGAGTTCCCAAGAGGCTACAGAAAATGTAGCTTTCTTTATGAAATCAGCTCTTAGGTTAAATTTTAGATGCTTGCAATTGCATTCTCTCGCTTCCAAACCAGAATGTAAGTTGTTTGTCCTGATGAACTCCCTATCAAATCGTTAGACTTCATGTTCCAAGCTCTTTTGAAGGCTTTTAGAAGAGCTGTGTAGTATTGAAGGAATTCATGTTACTGTATTTTTTCTGTCTGTAGTGTGGCTGCCTCAAAAGTTGCTTTTAGGTGCGTTGAAATTTGTTTCTCCCTGCAGAAAATGTTTACAGAAACCTGTGTGAGATTTTTCCCTTTCTACACAGAAGGCAAAATACTTTTCCTTTTAATCCCTTTTTTGCTTTCCCAAACCTTTGTTGCCTCTCCTGTGTACCAGAAGCACATCTTTAAGCAGTGCACAATATGACGTTTTAGCATTAATCGTTAATGTTAGTTTATTGGAATGTGTAAACATGTATATTTTTCACTGTCCCATACGCTATTATAATTTCTTTTACTCTGTTAAATTCAAATGTAATTTAGGATGGAAAAATACATTTTAGAATTACATCTGGAGCATCTAGTATTAGTATGACTTTTCCATGGCCTGACAGTGATGTTTCAACAATCTATACATATTGATTTAGGCTGATAATAAACAATTTGATTAGGCTCTATCTATAGGCTGTCATTTCAATCACTGTCACTGGTCCAATAGAGTGGAAGGCAGCTAGCAGACACATATGGCAAGATTTCTCAAAATAAGAAACTCTGGCCTGATTAGAGCCCTAGGTTCAGTGAATTGGACAAGACAGCTCAGCTGCCAGGTTATTAACTCCCTCAGAAAATACTCTGCCTTTTCCCCGGGGCCAGCCTGAATATTCTGATCTGGATCGATAAGCAATCTCCGGTGTGTACAAAATGCCAGCTAGAATCATTTGTCTCAGTGCAGTCTCCTTACAAAGGATAAAACACCTGCAGTATGTGGCCTTCTCTCCCTCCTCCCCCACCTTCCCCCTTTTAAGTAATGACCCACAGAGAAGGAAGAAGTAACTGAATCTATTCCATCATCAGGAAGGCTCTCTCAGGTTTGTTTTAATGATCACAATGGCTACCTTTCAATCTTATAAAAATTATATCAGTCATGGTTTCCCTATGGCATGTTTATGTAAGTAATGTGAACTGCAATGTACTGACAAGCGTACAGATGTCATCGTAAGAGGGCCCTTGGCAAGGAGATACCTCAGAATGTCAGAATTTTAATAAACAGCGGGCTGCTGGTAGGGTTCTCTTTGGTGGTTGTCTTTTATATTTGTAATGTGCACTGCAATCTGTTGCTTAGCCCTGAGATTTTTTTTAAAGTGTTTAGCAACAAGAATACTTTAAAATTGATTGGAGCAGGAGAATTCCTTTCCAGAGTGGTGATGTTTGCCTCATCTGGTGCACACCCACAGTTTTGTTTGTACTAATGGTGGATTATAGCCAGGTAACTTGTACTTTCTTCAAATAAGTACCAAAATCTGGAATATTCATCCAAATCTCATTTCAGATCCATCCAGACCTCCTGGACCTTGTTTTCAGAAGAGAGAAATCTACCTCAAAAGATGCCTTACACTTCCCTCTTTTGGTTAGAAAGTGTAGCAGACATGAGAAAAATGCCTTTGCTTTAATACCTCAGCACTATCCCATTCTTCTTGTAATCCCACACAAAATCAAAAAGTGTAGAGGAGGATGAATTTAGTGTAGAGGAGGATGAATTAAGAGGAGTAATCTTTAAAAATATGAGACACTATACTTCGGCATGAAAGAAAATATGGCTGTGAAAGAATACAAGGGTAAAGTATCCGTATTTTTGTCTGGGCTGTGCAAGAATTAAGTATCATGGGTGTTGACAAAGGGTAGTCAGCTGTAAAATTAAGACAGAACAAGGAATTTCTACTTCTTATTGCGTATAATTTCAGAGTTTTCATTCTGATTAATCCAGAACCTTTGTCCTTTTTTAATATTTAGGGCAGGATATAGCGCTCTCTTTTAAAATTCTGTTCAATGCACGTCTTTCGTGAAATACAGTTTTGACTTCTTATGTAATGATCCAGAATTTGTTCCCTGACTGTACACGGTATCCTAGATATTTGAGTTTAAATACAGTGAAAAAGAATGTCTATCTGACAATGAGCACCCTTGACTCTAATTAAAATCGAATAACTTCAAAACTGCAGAGAAGTCCAAAAGCTCCAAATTCTGCTCCCTCACTGGTCATATATTAACACCTGGAGGCGCAAGTCAGAACTTTCATTGCACAGGGAGTATGTAGCATCATACATACCATCTTGTCAAGAATTAAAAGCTGAATCTCCTTAACTATACACATTCAATATTTGCTAAGTAAATTCTTATACTAAACAGATGTTCCTGGGTTACAGATTACAATTCTTTCAAGAATAAAAGCCAGTTTTAGCGTGTGTTTCCAGGCTATTGAACCAGCTCCTCAGCCTGATGTAAACGAAGGCATAATTCTGACCTCAGTTTGTTTAACGTTTGCCTCCATGTGCCTATAGAAAACTTAATGTAAACTTGAGATCTAGGCACAGCTCAGAAATAAAAATGGTATTTTGTGTCTTCTTTTCTCATGGCAGATTAGAAAGATGCATTTTAAGTTTGTATTGCCATCACTTGAGAAAGAAAAGAAGCTTTGCCTTTGCTTTCTGCCCGTTTTTGCTGCATGATATGTCTTGTATTGTCAATAAATTAAAATACTGCCTTCCAGATAGTTTCTTTCATATCTGCTATCCAAAACCTCAGGAAACAAATGATGCTTAAAAAAAGAACAATGTAAGGAACAATTTTAATGAATTGATTTCTCAAAGTAGAAAACACATTTCCCATCAAGATACTTATTAGAATGTTTATCTCTGGGAAAATGCACACAGTTTATAAGAAAAGCTGATGTTATGTTAATTCCCATTATTATACACAGAAAATATTGAGGAAGATGAAACAAAGTGCCTTTAAACCAAAGCTGATCACATTTTTTTCTTGTTTGCTACAGTTTTATTGTACTGAAATATGTTCATTTTAGCAGTGGAAAATCACCCTAAATAGACAGCATAAGAGCAATAAGATGTCACATTGCAGAGCACAGTTTTAAAATGATGTGCTCTGGAAGTAAGGCTTTTAGACATTTTGGTTTATGTATTAAAACTTCCCACAAATTTGATTGAGAATGAGCCTTTGATGGGTATTTGCTGCAGTTATGCTGTATTAGACTCGATTTATCCACCACCTCTCATTGTTGCTATTGATTGATTTTTAAATTAGATGAAGGCAATCAGTAAATACCACCCAATCAAGTCCTAAAAACATACAGGAGATTAGACAATTTAGGGTAATCAATGAAAATATTCTGTGATTTGCTACCACTCAATTTTGACCATAAATTACGACCATAACTTGCAAGTTAGTAAGCCATAAAACAAGTGGATGTGACAAGAAAAACTATAAGAAATGAATTAAGGAGATGAAGAGGAACCACTAGTGTTGTTGTTTAATGAGACAAAATTACTCTTTATACATATCTTGCATTCCTAGTTGAGTCTTGTCAACAGTAATGGAGTACAAGAGCAGCAACACTGCTCTTAAGATTTTTTTTTTTTGTAGTACAAAAGCTGATCTTTTGTTTAACAAATTAGTTTGAACAATAACTGATCAACCTAATTCTGTTGCAGCAAATAAATTAATGTAATTTTAGGATCAAAGCCTGCTGTTTGTTAAACACCCTCACCTACATCACAGGCACTTGCAAACACTAATTTTAAAATTACACTTCTACATGGTGTTATATTCTACAAAGTTTAAAATGTAGCAATAATTGAATGTTATTTTAGACCAACACTTTGGAGAAGCTGTGCTTCTACACTGTTTTCCTATGATACATTTCACCCATTTTCTACATTCTTACAGCAGTTTCACCACCAATTAATAGTTCACATGCCTTAAAAATATATTTTACCGTTTAGTTACTAGTTGAATATAGGTGATTGGGTCTTTTTGATTTATGAACTTCTGTATGTATTCTGTGTTTCTAGGCTCAGAAGCTTCTTAGAAATATATAAAAAAATTGTTAACAGCTATAGGTTTTATTGAAATAAACTGGTAAGCTAAAGCTGGTATTTACCATAAATCTGCACCCTTCAAAAAGTAGCATAGATGTGATGCTGCTGAATAGCATGTAAAAGTCTTTTGGATTAATACCTTTAATGTTTCCCTTGTAATGAAGAGGATCATTTAATAAAGGTGTCCAGAATAATTTTGGGGATGTTGATTGTTAAAAAAGAATGATATTAGCAAGATTTCTTTGACAAGAGGAAAGTTTGTGGGCCTCTTTCTACACAAAACAGCAAATTGAGAGGCCTGCAAACTGCACAGTGCTCTGCCATGAATGCTGATGAGAATTAAATGTAGGGATAGCAGTACCGGGAGAATGAAGGTATACTAAAATACATGCTAAAATGAGATGATATGGAAAGTGCCATTATGCAGCTTGATGACAGAGCATTGCCTTTGCTCGGACATAAGCTCAGAATGCACTGGTGAAACAAATGCTGAAAATACATGGATTTATATTTGCTATCAGTTAATTAATTTTCAGTGGAGACATGCTTCACATCACAGTGGAGAAGGTAAAGCCCTGGAGTGGGAAGAAAGCATTAGTGATGTTGCAAACAAAACATTAATCAGGAAATATGGACTCTGTACCAGTGAGTGGACTCTGGGTGAGAGAATCCAGCATTAGAATCCCAGGGATATTTTGTGTAGAAACTTAAAAGCATTTGCTGTAATAGACAGATGTCTGGCACAAACTAAAACAAATCAAAAAAAAAAAAGGAGTAGTTCTTCTTAGCTGGTTATTTTTTTAAAAGTTATTTCCTTCAGCCTAGTGTTTTAAAATCAGGATTTGCTTCTCCATGCATGTCTGTAGGGTAAATCCATGAAAGTCCCGAAACCCTCGTCCTATGAAACAACTTCTATTTCTGTCAAAGATACTTATCATCTGAATTTTGAATTTAGCATTTTATAATTGCCCAGGTCTATGGTTTTTCAGATTGTCCATGTTACCCAGATTTTAAAAAACAATGAATAAGTGAAATGAACTTTTGCTTATCTTTTGTGTTTTGTCAATTTCTACAGGATCATAAGACATTACTCTACCCCAAAGAACAGCTGTAGTCAGTTTTGGAAGACAGTGTCCTGGTGGGAGCTCAAGACAGAGCATATATTCGCTTAGGAAATGTCACTGTGACACTTCCAGGTAAATTCAGTGCTAGTGGTATCTTTTTCTTTCTTCTAGGTAAATTTGGTACTGCAGAAAACTTCTGTGCCTTACCTCCTTGCCATAATTTCTGGATAGGATGTAAAATGAGACTGGATGGGACACAATTCTCTTTTCAAAAATAGTATTTGTCCCTCTATAGCTACTGTTATTTCTGAAATTTGAGATTTTTACTTTCATTTGAAATCTCCTTTAAAAATCTCCAACTTGTTTCCAAGCAATTTTGGATGTGACTGATCCTCTGGAAATCTGGTGGGAATTTGTAGGATATCCAGTTAAGTCATATAGGCAGGAAGTGGAAAAGTTCAGAATTTGGATGGACTTTGGAGTGTTTGCATTCCGATATTCAAATATTGGCCTGTGTTACATCTGAATTATAAAGTGTATCATTTTTTATTTTGCATTCTCTCGAGTTCTCTTTACATATTGTGTTCCAACTCATCTTTCTGTGAGTTGAAAAATATATAAATAAGAAACCAACAAACCTCTAGCAAGGGGGACATGGAAGGGAGAGTTAAAAAGAGAATCCTTAGCTTAAAACAAAGACAGAGACCTACTTTGCTGTTGCTGATGGACTGGTGCAATACAATGAAGCTGGTGCATTCAATATAACTTTTAGAATAATTGCCTGGGAGGTAACCAGAAGAAGTACATTTTACTTTATTATGGCACATAAATAAAAGGGCAGACTAATTAATCATATAACTTACTAAAAGTGCTTTTTATTTTGCCATTTAGTATGCCAGAAAGATCATTTTCTTTAATGTATATACCCAGTATTAACATGATTTAATCCATCATGTTCTATATTATGAAATTACTTTGTTTTACTCCCTGATCCAGCTGAAGATCATTAACCCGCACTATTATCTAAGTCATACATCATTCGAGTGTATTACCTCATATAGCAAAAAAGCTACTTCCCTCAGTTACACACTCCAAGAAATCATTTTTTCTAGATGTTGCTGACAAGTAGAGCTGTTTTCATTAGAAAGCAGATGGTTCACTATTTCTATTCTATTTTACCCTCACATTTGCTCCAGCTCTGAGTTCTTCGCTGCCACCTCATCCTTTCCCTTTCACAAAATCCACATCCTACATTCCAGACCTATCCCTAAAATGTGCTGAATATTCAAGTGCATTGTCTTCCCTTGAGACCTCCTCTTTAAATGCCTAATGTAGTCTGTGTCCTCACTTGTAGTAAGTTAGTTTTTGACACGCAATGAAATTGAATCTAATCATCTGTACAGTAGCTTAAGCTCCCACAGATTTGCAGGTGTCTATCAGTTGGGAGTGCCAAAGATATAATTTACACATTCAAATTTAAGTTTGGGCCTGAATTCACACCGCTAGTAAATTTGTCCCACTAGAGTTTTAAGGCAGAATCTGGCCCTCTGTCATTTTTTCAGTGAACAATTACGATGTTTGTGATAGTTTGGTGTTTTCACCTTGTTAAGTCTATATAATGTGTTTTGCTTGGACTGCCCTAATGCTGTGGGACCCTGGTGGGTGTCAATAAGCAGTAGCCTGCAATGTATATGTGTGCATGATGGGAGTAGGTGGCAGTGGTCACTCTGCTTCTGCTCTCTTCCCTTAATTTTATGCATTCAAATGTTTCTTGTGTAACTACCTATGTCAGCTACTGCAACATAAAAGTATTGCTGGTTTCTGGAATATGCAGGAATATATTTCCCAAAAGTAAATTTCTGCACACTGTTGAGCTCATGAAGGAAGAAACCACTGAGTCTGTAGCCACAGAACAAGACAGCAGTGTAGGGATCACCACATATCTCACTTAAGGAGCTCATTGATTCAGAGCTTTGTATAACAAGAGCTAGTGTTCTTGTTCTAAGGGCTCCAAATTATATCTGTGATTCCCCCAGAGGCTTTCTGGTAAGTTATCGGCACACATAAAAATCAGTGTCCGTGATGGAGATGAGGCAAAGAAAGGCAGGGAGGGAGTTTAGATTCTTTCAGCCTTAGTTTCACACTTCTTGGTTCCAGATGCTGATAAGTGGATTAATTTTTTTAAAAGGCTGTTTTCTTTATACTATCTGTTTTGTGGGACCAATGGTAAGCATAGAAATGCAATTTAGAAGAAATATCCCAATATTTGAGTGTCATAATATTGCTATAGTATGATTTTATCACTTAAAAGAAGCAATCATCCCTTCTCACTGTTTATACACACATTATTTTTCTACAGAGGAAATATAAGATGGAGAAATTTTTTTTAAGAGTGCTTTGGGAAAATTATATTTGTTATGTTAACAGTAAAGCAAAAACATGTAGTTCTCTTGATAGTCTAAGGAGACTTGTTTTCATTCTCTAGGGATTTGCAAACAGCAGAAAATGACCTGCTTCTATTTGCTTAGTCTTTTCACGGACACGCAGGAGAATGGCTAACTCAAAATTCTGTGTAAAAATGCTAAGCTAATGAGTTACCATAAGGTCTAGTCTAAAACCTGTATAAAAATGCTAGCATAAGCATCCATTTAAGCCATTTTGAGTGTTTTGTGTCAAAATAAAGACTGGATAGTTCTTGAAAACCTTTCTTGGCATTTTTACTCTGTAGAAGGAATAAATGGTATATAATAATAGTTGCAGTTTTCCAAGTAACAGAAGTAACGCCTGCAAGTTTCAGGCTGTCTGTAGTTATCTCTAAGCATTCATCTTGGCAAGTAAGTTCTTATTCTAGCAAGTAAGGAAAACAGGTTATCCCAATGCTTAAATAAAAAGCCACTTACTAAAGTTGAAATCCTTAGAGGTAAATCATCACTGCATAACTTTTTCCATGGTGTATATGCTTTGGTTTCAAAGGCTTTATACTATTGATGATACTCAAACACTGTATTAACATATTCAGACCTACTTTGTGTGGTTTTCTCTGATCTCTGCCATGTCCACCATTTTTTCTTATAGCTTCATTTTTTCTGAAACTCAGTTTTTCTTACAGCATCAGGAATTTTGATTTCTTTCACTGGTAAAACATACTTCCTAACTGATGTCAGATTTACCATTTAATATTACCTAGTAACATTTGTCATTTGTAAAGATTTTCCCTCCTGTATTCACACTGAAAATTACTATACTGCTTGGCAGGAATAAGGGTATAGAACTGGGGTTGGTACTTTGACTTTGTTAATTTTAAGGAGAACCTTTTCACAGAACTTTAAAATGCATCATAGATGGGATGTGATTTTAAGCAGTAATCCTAAATAAACAGTTCCTTTTTTTCCTGTACAGTTTGCACTGAAATCTGTAGGAGGAGGAAGCTGAATAAAGAGCTGGAATGAACATGCTTACAAAATTCAAAGAAAAGATAATAGATTTGCTTTGGTTCCAAATATCGTCAGCTAGATGAACACCAAGGACAATGTTTTAGTTATAGATTAATAATTCGTGGTACAAAGAGTTCTGAACAAATTAGGGGAAAACATAAAGCCACAATATTAAGCAAAGCCAAGGCTGAAGGTCAGCCTGCAGTTACTAACCATGCTCAGAGTTATATTATTTTTAGTGATGACACAACATTTAAGCTATTGAACTTGGCACCACAAACAGCCATGCCTATTGTGCAGGGAGAAGAAGCATGCAGTTGGTTGTGGCTGATTTTTACATTTCTGTTTATAAAGTCTGTGGAGTCTGGTTTACTCTCAGTCAAACATAGCTTCTGCATCTAACCAGAATAAACCTCATCTGAGTAAACCTTATAGCCATAATCCAGCTGCAAAAAATATGACAGGGCAAAAATAGTAGGGGCAAATACTTGCTGCTTACATTTTATGAGTCAGACTCCAAAAAGGGTAAGGCACAAAGAGAGACAAACTATCTTCTGCGGAGGGAGCTGGGTGCACCTGTCACTGGGACGTTAGGAGGTAATGCCTTTGTACAGAAAAGTCCCTTTTGCATGGCTTTAAACTCCACTTGTTCCTGCAGACAGGGTAGCTGCCATGGTGAATGAAGAGCAGACAGTATAGTCTTCTGGAGGGGCAGAGGTTAGCCCCCGCTGAAGTACATACAGCTCCAGCCACACTGCCATAAATCACCACACCGGCCAGTTCAAAGTTAGTCTGGGCATGTCTGCATGATCTGTAGTGCAGCCTAATCTGTAAACAGTACCACAGGCCTCTAACCTGTAAACAGGCTGTTATTGCATAGTCCTAGAGATGAACACTTTGAATAGTATTAATTGCCCTCTGCTCAAAAGGAGATTTCTGTGCCACTGAGAAGTTCCCCAGGCCAGCTCCTCAGCTATGGCAGTGACTCTGCTGATTGGAGTTACCATGAGCTTCTGCAGATATCATAATCTACTCCTCAAGCTACCAATTTATCACTAACTTGTTATTTTCATATGGTTGATGCCTGCCATATTATGGCAGCAATGCCCAAGTGATTTAAGGATTTACTTCTAGTAAACTAAGATTAAAAAAAAGATGGACTTTTTGGTTTATGCCTTTCACAGTTCCACAGAATCTGATTAAGGATAGATGTCACCAAAGCCAAATTTTTCTGCTCAAGAAAATGTTTTGTAGCTACCAAATGCTGTAGTTGAAGGTAATTATCAAAAAAGAAAAAAGATATAACAAAAAAAAAGAATTACTATGAACCGTAGAATGAAACTTTGTTTGTTTTTAGTGTAAATAATTTAGTGGTTTTGCTTTAACAATTATGAGTTTAGTATACACAAAACTTTTATTACCTCTTCTAGCCTAAGTTTTGTCCCTACTAGAACGTTAGCAGTATAATTGCATAATATCATGAAATATCCAACCCTGCCAAAGTAATTCCAAACAAAAGAAAGGAGAAAGAATAGGAAATTGTAGTGTAGGTTTTTGAAAAGTTAAAATACAAAATGGTTAAGTACACCAGGTGCTGTTTTAGGATGTGTGTGTAAAAATGGCTGTATAGTACACAGACAATCCTGATGTTCATACAAAACATGCACAAATTATCTATGGGAATAAGAATCATGTACA